TGATATTCTGGGGTGGGTTTTGGGAGGGGGGGGGGTACCATATATATGTATGTATGTACATATACATACATACATACATACATACATACATACATACATACATATATATATATATATATAATATGTTTGTATGTATGTATACATGTATGTATACGTATGTGTATATAGATGTACATATGTGTGTATGTATATATATATATATATATGTATCAACCCAGAAACATTATCACAACTACGTTATGACTATGAAGGCTTCTATATTATGTATTAAACCCTGTATTCATCTATCGGACATAAACCCCTAAACCCGCCATAAACCCTAAGCCACCCAAAACCCAAAAACCTGAACCCCAAACCAGTAAACCACCCGAAACCCGAAACCCCTAAACCCCAAACCCCAAAACCCCTAAACCCGAAACCCCTAAATCCTAAACCCTCAACCTTACTAACACCCAAACCCCTGAGCCACAATGCACCCATCAGGCTCAGACTCCTCCCCTCGGGAGAAAATTTGTCGGCCAGCGAGGTGTGTGGTGGGGGGGGGGGGGGCGGGACGAAGGGGGGCGGGGGGCTCTGAGTTTAAACCGCAGGGGCTTGCAGGAACTAGGGTAGGGTGAAGAGTTTAGGCTTAGGGTTTAGAGTTCGGGGTTTTATTAGGGTTGAGCGGTTCAGTGTGTCCAGGCAGGCGAGACTACGGAAGCCTGCTGCAAAACTGTTCACAAGGCTTTAGGGGTATTGATGATTCAATGATTTCGGATGCATTTTCAGATCTGCGTCGCAGAATGCAGGAAACTTGCAAGGAGCTGTTGAGGGATCTTCACTCATCTTTTTTAGTTTAGCATGCTCCACAAAGGACTTCAGCACCCTAGTCTTAAACGAGTGCCTTCAGACACACCTCTCATCGCGAACAGTCGCATGAACGACCGTGTGGCATCCCTCCCCCTGAAATATCCAGACCTCAAAGGCGCGATATCTTCCGAGCCCTAGCCGAAACCCAGCGCTCTAGCTGGAGGTTCGAAACCCTAAATCTAAAGACCACAAGCCTCGCATACCTAAAGCTCGAGGGATCAACATGTCTACACCACCTCAAGCCGTCCCTAAACGCTAAACCCTAAACTCCGAAACTCATTACACTGGAAATCCTCAACTTCAAGCCCGAGCATCCCTCAACCCAAAAATGCGGGCTTTCTGCACTGTCCTAAGAGTACGTGGATGTTTCACAAGTAGGGTTCCCGAATATGGGTAATAGCTATAGTTATCCTACTTCTAACCCCACATCAGAGAAACCAATAACCCTAAACCCTAAACCTTGGGTACTGACCCCACTCAGTAACAGTTGGATAATACTTGTACTACGGATATATTAGGCCCTTAATAGTAGCCCTACTATAGACTGTTACTGTATGGGGGCAGTACCCAACCCAAACCCCAAGTAAGTCGGAGGCCGGATACCGTTTGGCAGAGCCTGGGCCAGAGGCATTCTGGAGTTCAACAGGGCGCTAAGAGGGCTCAGGGGTTTTGGGATTATAGGGTCTTGGGTAGATGGTTCAGGGGTTATAGGGTTTTGGGGTTGTAGGGTTATAGGGGTATAGGGTTTTGGGTTTTGGGCAGGGGGTATCGGGTTTATAGGGTTTTGGGTTATAGGGGCTTGGGTAGAGGGTTCAGGGGTTATAGGTTTTCGAGTTTTGGGTTATGGGGTTTTGGGTTTTGGGTTATGGTTATAGGGTTTTCGGTAGAGGGCTCAGGGGTTATAGGGTTTTTTGGGTTCTGGGTTAGAGGGTTTTGGGTTTTGGGCTATAGGGTTCAGGGGTTATAGGGTTTTCGGTTTTGGGTTATATGCTTCAGGGGTTATAGGGTTGTCGGTTTGGGGTATAGGGTTCAGGGGTTATAGGGCTTAGGGTTTTGGGTTATAGGGGTTCGGGTTTAGGATTAAAGGTTATAGGTTTCAGGGTTGAGGGCTTTGGGTTTGGGATTGTGGGGTTTGATACCATGACTTGTTGTACGCTTGTTTGGTTGATATTGTCTCATGATGGAATCACCCGTGAAAAGCGATCGCTGGTGCAAACGTCGGCCACATCTGCAGCCTTGACTACCATCAGGCCCTCCAGAAGCTTCGAGTCTAGCGTTGCATTGTTCAGAGAACTTCAGTCTTTGCCGCGCGTGGCCATTATTGTGCTCAGCAAGTGCCTGCACCTGGGTTCATTGACGATGCCGGCAGGTTTCAGCGAGTGTTGACGGAATCTTGCTACAACGTCCGCGACATTCCTGCTTTTTATATTCCTGGCCCAAACAAGGCAGAGCGGCTGTACCAGGAGCTTCAGCAGAGCACAAATTGATTCAACATAGGGTCCAGGTATGGTTGCTAGAATTGTAAGCGAGGACATCTTATGGTCCGGTGGTCAAGGTCGAGACTGTAATCAGATGTATCGAAATGAGCCATTGGGGTCAGGGGTTCCAGATCTAGCTGTACCCGGCGGGTCCAAGGACTTCGGCGCAAAGGGCTCATGGGGCGGAGGAGGGTCAGGGTTCAGGGTTTTGTTTTTTTCGAGCCGAAGTTTCTAAGTTCGGACTCTCTTTACGGTTGATAGGGTTTAGGGCTTAGGGTTTAGGGCCTATTGTTTAGGGTTCAGGGCTTACGCTTAGGGCCGACGGCTCAGGGCCTCGGCTTTGGGTTTCGAGCGCACAGGCGAGGCGCTACACCAAAACCCAAAACCCTAAACGGGGGTTTCCGAAATGAGGGGACCGTAATATGGTACCCTAATAGTAGGATCCTTATTAAAAGGACCCCAAAATAAGGTACCCCCTAATTTTCGGAAACTCCTAAACCTAAGCCCTAAACGTCACCGGTGTTCCCAGGTGACTTCGGTCGAACCTCGAAAGGTCGGTGTTTTGGCTTCCGGGTTGGTTCGGTACTTCCTCCGAGACCGCAAGCCGTTGCCCGTAAGCCCAAAAAACATCCCAGAGACTCCAATATCCCTTAATTAAGGAATATACCTTAAATCTTATTAGGGTTTCTACTGCAATTTAAGGTATATTCCTTAATTATGGGATATTGGAGTCTCTGGGATACTCCTCATAAGCCGCCAACCCTCAACCCGAACACCGCGACCCCAAATTCTGAACCCTAAAGACGACTGCAACTCTTATAGACCCGAAGTCTGAACCCTATAAGCCATAAGCCCCGAAAGCCATCAACACCCTCAAGCCCTAAATCAGACGCCCTAGGACAGACCCTAAACCAGAAGGCCTAAACCCTAAACCCGAAAACCCTGCGCCATGTATATACACCAAACCCTGTTAAACCCTAAAATCCAGAAAACCCTAAACCCGAAACCCTACCTAAATCGAAACCATAACTGTGACAGGAAGTGGTGTTGTGCCCCGGCGGGGTGCCCAACTGGCGAGGTCGGGCACCTAAACCTTTGAGGGTTTCTTATACGGCTCCTTCTAAGGGTTCTATGAGGGGAAAGTCCCGAAGCCCGATGGAGCCCTTGAGGCCCCGACAACCAAACCCGAAAGCCCTCAGTTTGAGAATCCTAGCATCCTGAAGGCTGCAACGCCCTGCAGCCCCAGAGCCCTAAAGGCCCAAAAGCTCCGAACCCTATATCTAAGGTTAGAAGTATGGGCCACTTATATGGACCCTTAGGCCTTTCTAGGGACCCTTCAGGGTACATATAGGGTATATAGTAGGTGTATAAGGATCCCAGGGTTGAAGGGCCCAAACTAGGGCCCATGGTTTCAACCTTAGACTATAGGGAGCTAGGGATAGGCACTTTTATCGCGAAGATGGACATAATCCTCTCCCCCGTTTACCTCGAGTATCCATAAGCCGGAAAGGCTTTCTAAATCCATCTTCCCGATAGGCGTGCTCAGATTGAAGGCAGGTTTTCGAAATGTTAAGATTACTCGGGATCTCAGCCTAGCAGACAGCAGCTTTCAACAAGTGCCTGTGTTTGATCCTGTCGACCCAAAGCCCGCATCTCTCGACAGAGGCAGCGTGGTCCGGGAAGTCTTCCTAGAAGCAACCGACTTCTTGATGCATTCGTGTGGGCTTCAGACACAGGACTACAAAATAGCAGCATCAGGATTTCGAGGGATTCCCCTCCGAGGGGTGGCTCCATGATGCACCAACTGACACTTTAGGCTTGGGGGGTGCGGTAGGTTTCTGCTGGAGTGCATGGGGCTGATACGGGATGAAGGGCTATATGGCTATATGTGATTTTGTAAGCGCTTGTCTTCAATGGCCGTGCAGGGTTTCGATGGGTCAAAGTTGAAATCGTTCAGAATGTGTTACACGGTTGCTCCGGGTTGCACTTGGCTCGCTACGCTGTTATAAGGTTGCATTCGTCCGCTCCTAAGCCCTAAACCCTAAACCCTAAACCCTAAACCCTAAACCCTTAACCCTTAACCCTTAAACCCAAAACCCAAAACCCAAAACCCTTAAACCCTGAACCCTAAACCCCTAAACCCTGAACAGCAGGGCCTGAAGACGAGAAGGATGGGTTCAGTATTAGGGCTTAGGGCTTAGGGCTTAGGGTTTAGGGTTTAGGGTTTAGGGCGGACCTGAGTTCTTTCGGCTGAACTCATAATTCTTTTGGGATTTACGGGGAGTTTGGGGCCTAGTGTTTCTCGAGTTTAGGGATTGGGATACCAGGCAAGCGGCGTTTCGGCTGGCTTCGTGCGGGCTTTAGAAGTTCATTCAACTAGCATCTGCTTTGGTATGGGCTTACAGGCTTCACTCCGCTTCCCTAGTCTTCCACTACCTACTTTATGTTGGGGATGTTCAGAGGAGCTCCCTCTCAACAAAATGTAGGAATTGAGCGTCACTCCGGCTCTATTCCAAAAACGCAAGACTTTGATGTCAAATCCGGTGGGAAATTCAGTTAGGGTCTGTTAGGTTTCAAGCTTTTCGGGTGTAGGGCTTAAGGCTTAAGGTTTGAAATCTAAGTACAAGCACCTGGGACCTACCAAGGACAAAGTTTGAGTTTAAGTTAAGAGACCTGTTTGAATGTTCTGGCCAAAGAGGGCCTTTTCTCCCAAACTGTTGTGGTCCTGCAGCAGCCTTCCTTATGGAAGCGATCCAAGACATCTCTGGATGCTATGGTTGATGATATAAAATCCTGCATTACCCATAAAAATTTTCCATAGTTCCCATAGTTTAGGGTCCTTAAGGCAATGCTACACCCTAAGCCCGAAACCCTAAACCCTATAGATCTCTTTCAGGGAAACCTTCATTAGGGTACTTAAGGTAATGCAGGATTTATGTCATCAAAACTCTAAACACTATAAGCACTATAAACCCCATAAGCCCTAAACCCTGAACCCCAGTATGTTGGCTTCGCTGGAGGAGGTGTAGACCTGCAGAGGAAAGCTCGCAGACTTTCTGCAGTTCATGGGGATCGCAAAGTTGGCCAAGGTCGTACCGGTAAGGGTCTGGGAGTCTAGGGTTTAGGGTTTTAGGGTTTATAGGGCTTTGGGATTTCAGGGTTTAGCGTTAAGGGTTTTGGGTTTAGGGGTTTAGGGTTTTAGGGTTTAGGGATTTCAGGGTTTAGCGTTTTGGGTTTAGGGGTTTAGGGTTTAGGACTCCAGAGGGTGGCTCACGAACGATGTGCCGAACCTTCTGAAGCCACACTCGCTGCTTGGAGGGTTGGAGGCTTTTCCTATGAACTGAGGCCTTGCTGAAAGATCCACAAACTCTACTGGCAATGTAGAAGCCTTATTCCTTGGGGTTCTCTGTTATATAAAATTTATAATAGTATTCAGGAACCCAAAACCCTAGCCTAATTATTAAGGCTCCTACATATAGCTTTACAGGATCAGCGTCCTGCATTGGACCCGAAGGGCGGCACTTGCGAGGACCTGAATTGAGGGAACTACTGTAGGGGCCTTAATAATTAGAATAGGGTTTTGGGGGCTCCTTATTATAATTTTAGTGTAGTATAGTATACCCCGAAACCCTATTTTAACTAATTACTAAGGCCCCTACAGTAGTACCTATTTCTTGGGAAGGGTTGATGGTGCCCCAGGTCTTTCGGCGCTGCGAACAGCGCCGCGCCGACGACGCAAAGCGTCAGCTGGCTCATTCCGGGGCTCTTCGGAGTTGCATTCCCTTTGACCTACTTACCCAGAATAGCTTTTTATTTAGGGATATGCCTCCAATCATCATAGGGGGCTCAAAACTGCGATGTAAGCATTATTCCTTGTATACTTACCGCCATCGAACCTTGTAAATCAAGACTTCTGAGACGGGTTCCAAGTTGGCCTCAAGTACAAGATTGGGAGAGCGAGATGCAGAGAACTTTGGTATATATATATATATATATATATTATACATAATATACTTACCTACATTTTGCATTGTGGTTCCTTTTTTGGGGGGGGGTGCTTTTCGGAGCCTAAATCTGACATTGCTCCCTAAACCCTAAACCCCAAACCCCAAAAAAGTGACTATATGCTATAGGTACACGTGAGGGGACTCCTGGCATGATTGTCATTGTGGTTCCAACATGGCCCTCTTTGCACCAGGATTTGAGGAGGGCTTAGGGTTTAGGAGGGTTTAGGGTTTGAGGAGGGTTCAGGGTTTAGGATTTGAGGAGGGTGTAGGGTTCAGGATTTGAAGAGGGTTTATTTAGGGTTTGACTTTTAGACCCTCGCAGCCCACTTAAACTGAGTTGAGGGTAGGGTTCCGCATGTAAGTTCAATAGCTACACTTATGTATGTTACGTAGCAGCTTTTTCAACAAGTCCTTTGTAGATATCCCGACCGGCAGTCGAGCTTCTACCTCTGTTGCGTTCTGAAGAACTGAACATAGTATGCACCTTCCCCTAAACCCTAATTCCCTATCCCACTATGTTATCCCCAAACTGCATCCTGATCCTAACGACTCTACAAAACTAGACTATACCTATATTGCTTGCCTGGGATTATTGCCCCTAGACCCTATAACCCTAAACCCTCAGGAGGCAGGGTCGCGGAATGGCTTCACACCAGCAGTGGCGATGAGATTGCAGGCCTGGCCACCTACCACGCGAGGTCCCGAGCGGTGAACCCAATAACTCACTACCTGTAGTCTCCATTATTATAGTTCCTTTTTTTGGTTTAACCAACTAGATAATAAGGAATTTATAAGGTATCCCCAAAGAGGAACTACAATGGAGACTATAGGTAGACCCTAAGCCCGCAACCCGAAACCCCAAACCCTGAACCACGAACCCCTAAACCCTAAACCGGAAGCCCCCTAAACCCTGGAGATAGCAAGCCCGGTGGTATCATTTGCGAGAGGAGCCCTTGATGGCCACAAGCTCTTAGTTAGCAGCTGAGTAGGTAATCATGAGCATTTGGGGGTTCACAGAATCCTGCCATATCCTACCATAATTGAAAGGGTTACCTTTTTGGGGTTAGGCTATTCAGCCTCTAAGAAAGAGCTGCTTCTCAATGGTTCTTGAACATGGTTTGTGGGTTGAAGTTGCACATTTCGCGTTAGGGTTTAGGGTTCAGGCTGCAATGCAGTCAACCCTAAACCCTAAACCCTAAACCGTAAACTCTAAACCCGTCGTTGTTTCCACAACGGCCAAGGACAGCCACCGAGGATTTGAAAACTGCTGTGGCCAATCCCTGAGTCTCCCAATGGCCCGATTAACGGTTTCGGGTTTAGGGTTTAGGGTTTGGGGTTTGGGTTGCATACTTGGAGCCTTGAGGCCTTAGGGCGTAAGATTGAACTCGTGTTGATGGCCTACCTTGCAGATGCCGACCAGCATTTCGATGCGCAAGGTGGTGTTCTACTGAACGATGCGGGGCTTTTGGACGGAGGTAGGTCTAGCCTCGCAGCCGCCACCGCACACCCTAAACTCTAAACCCCAAACATCGTCGCCGAGCCAAACTTCCCGACCCCCAGACTCCTCCTAGGTCCTCCTAGGTCCTGAATCCACGCGCCCCTTAACCGAAACTCGTCAATCCTGAAGCCCTCGACCGTAAAAACCTCTTCGCCTGTTTATCTCAAGCCGAAGTTTCTTTGTTCGGACCCTCTTTAGGGTTGATAGGGTTTGGGGTTTATAGGGCTTAGGATTTAGGGCTCGGTTTGGGGGTTAGGCTTTGGCTTAGGGTTTGGCGCGTAGGGTTTGGGATTATCTCAGCTTCTCCAGGCCCTGCTGCTGGAAATCTTTCTGCTCCTTTTCGCCGCCCGGGGGCCCAGCCCAGCCGACACCCTGAAGACAGCGACAAAAGCATAATATAGAAGCCTAAATGATACCTGTAGGGTTCCTTAGGGTTCCTTATTATAACTGTACTACACAGGAGCCCGAAACCCTATTCTAATTCTTAAGGCCCCTACATTACATTAAACCCTTATAGAACCCTTATAATCACCCTTGAAAGGAACCCGTCAAAGGAACCCTAGTCTAATTCTTAAGGCCTTTGCAGTAAACCCTTATAGAACCCTCATGACAACCCTTTAAAGGAACCCTATTCTGATTATCAGGGCCCCTACATTACATTAAGCCCTTATAGAACCCCTATAATCACCCTTTCTAGGAACCCTGTAAAGGAACAATTATTTCTAATCATGAAGGCCCCTACATTATAGCTTCCAGGGTTTCGGCTTAAGGGAGGAACAGAAGCAGCTTCTTAGGGTTTTTAGGGTTTGAGGTTTTAGCTTTCAGACGGCTCAATTCAGTTTAGGGTTTGGGGTTTAGGGTTTAGGGTTGAGAGGGTTTAGGGTTCAGGAGTTGAGTTTTTCGTTTTCAGAGGGCTATTCTACGCATTTCGGGTTTAGGTTTTGTAGGGTTTAGGGTTTGCAGGGCGAGGGGTTTGTGGGGTTTAGGGTTAAGGGTTTGATTCTAAGGGTTTTCCCAAGCCCTCACAACCCCGGGGCCACCAGCACTCACCGATAACAAGGACAGCAGCAGCAGCGATGATGGTGTCAACGCATAGCCATGCCTGGTACCTATACATTGCTTGCACATCACATATAGGAGCTATGGGGGGGAAGTAGCTGAACCCAAAACCCTAAACCCCTGAATCCCTACACCCCTAAGCCCTAAACCCTAAACCCGAAGCGCTTACAAAGTACATATCTCAGTATCGCTACTAGCGGCTGCAGGCCCAGAGCCCGAAACCCTGAAAACCCTCATGCCTGAAGCACGAAACCCGGAACAACCCTAAATCCTAAACCCCTAAACCCCTAAACCCCTAAACCCCTAAACCCCTAAACCCCTAAACCCCTAAACCCCTAGACCCCTAGACCCCTAGACCCCTAAACCCCTAAACCCTAGACATGCCAATCAACGAGGCAGTAGCCCAGCCCCCTGGGGCGGATGAGGACGCGCTGCAGCGTATGCAACTGTTGATCCGTTGTGGCTTTGGGTTTAGGGGTTCGGGTTTAAAGGGTTTAGGGTTTAGGGGCTTGGGTTTAGGGTTTAGGGGCTTTGCGGTTCGGGGTTTGGGTTTAGGGTTTAGGATTAAGGGGGTTTGAGTTTAGGGTTCAGGGTTTAGGGGGTTTGTGTTTATGGGTTTGCGTTTAAGGTTTTGCGGCTGGGGGTGTAAGAAAGGCCTGATGTTGTAGCCGAAACCTGTGGGGCTTTAGGGTTTAGGGTTTAGGGTTTTGGGGTTTAGGGTTTAGGGTTTAGGGTTTAGGGTTTAGGGTTCGCAAAATGCCAGCATTGAGCCACACAGCCGGAGGCATGAACTTCTTCCGGGAAGGGCTATGGAGCTTACTTCTTCGCACGGTCGGGAAGCCTAATGTAAAATTCCATGTGCTTGTCACCAAGGCGAGTAATTAGAGCTTTCATACCGGAGCGTCAACAACTGGCGACAGTTATCCGCTAAGATTTCCTCTGATAGGAATAACAACTAAGTACTAACTAGCTTAGCTTAGCTGAGCTTCTATACAGTGCCCCTGTGAGTCCTTCGGGTCCTGCGAGTCATAGGCAAGTATACAAGGATGAGGTGTTGAGCCAAATCACAGGTCTCAGGATTTAGTGACAGTATCCCCTTACGGCCCCTGTAAGTGATGGTTTTTCCATATCAGAAGCCTATTTCTGATTAGCAAGGCCCGATGTTGATGGGGTTCACTGTTGGGGGTTTCGAGTCTAGTGTAGGGTACAGGCTTTTGGGTTAGGGTCGGTTTGCAAACTGCAGTGCCGATTCTTCTGGGATCCTTTGTTGAACCAGGAGCCTTAAATGTGATGGTATTTGCACCTACAGGCATTAAAAACGCGTATTTCTCACATACTCCCGCAATCAAATCCTAACCCCTATTTCGAATTCCTAAACCCTAGTGCCTAATTGTTGGGGCTTTCGGGATACTTTCAAAACCCATTATCTTAAAGGAACCTTTAAGAAGCCCTTCAAAGAACCCGAGGAACCTTTAACAAATCTTTAAAGAAACCCAAGCAACCTTTAACAAATCTTTAAAGGAACCCAAGGAACCTTTAATAAACATTTAAAGGAACCCAAGGAACCTTTAATAAATCTTCAAAGGAACTAAACCCTAAACCCTAAACCCTAAACCCTGAACCTTAAACCGTTGGGGTCTCCAAGCAAAGAGGAGCAGCCGCAGGTGCGCTCTGCGCGCAGCCCTCAGCCTGACGTTTACCCGAAGGGTTTAGGGTTTAGGGTTTAGGGTCCGAAGGACCCAATATTTAGGTACTTAGGTGTAGGGTTTAGGATTTAGTGGGTTTAGGATAGGTACTTGGGTGTAGGGTTTAGGATTTAGGGTTTAGAGTTTAGGATTTAGTGGGTTTAGGATAGGTACTTGGGTTTAGGGTTTAGGATTTGGGGTTTAGGATACTGGTTTTAGGATTTGGGTTTAGGAGACTGGGTTTAGGGTTTGGCGCCGTAAGCCCTAAACCCTGAACCCTAAGTAGGGTTTAGGCCTCACGGTCCAAAACACCTAATACTTGGGGCTTCGGGGGTTCTTTTGAGAGTTGTAAACGGGACTTATAGGTTTTGCTATCGGGCTTTATAGGGGTCTTAGGTCCGGCGGACTTCAAAATTCGGTACGTGGGTTTAGGATTATTTAGGATAGTAGTTTGGACAGTATATTGACTGCCAGGTCCTTGGACACTTGTTATTTCACAGCATCCAAATCATACAGGAAGACTTACTGCAGGGGTTACTCTAAGGGTTCTAAAATGGTTCTATATTGCTGACTATAAGGTGCCAAACCGTCTGAGTATAGTATGTGGGGCCCAACGCCGTACTACTCGGGTCCTTGGACGCTCTGGATAACGAATACTATTTACGTATCATTTAGGCATTCTTTCTGGGGCTTGCCCTAAGCCTAAAACCTCGTCACACCCTTAGCCCGCGACCAAAACATGTTCATACGCCACCTCCATAGTTTATGGTCCTGCGCAGGTTTCCGGAGCAGGCTCCATTCATGGCATGATGCCGAACCAGGAAATCCTGAACCTTGAATCCTAAACCCTAAACCCTCAACCTATAGACCCTAAGCCAGGATGGAGCCAATGGGGGGGATCCCGGAGAGATCATCCTAGCGGTGCGGAGACGATTCGTTTTGCTGAGGTTCGCCAAATTACCATAGACCTCAAACCGCTCCCGAAACCTTAGATGACAAAGGTGGCTTGCCGGCAATAAACAGCTACCAGTATGAGATTAAGGTCCTCAAGCCTCAGGCCCTTTGACCCACCCTGCGCCTTTGAACAGCCTGAGGCCATACCTTTCACTGGCTGAGGGTCTAAGCAGACCGGCTGCAGGCAGTTGCAGAGGATATCGAAGCTTTAGGCTTTAGGATATAGGGTCGGGTTTATTGGAATCTAAGGTTTTGTACTTTAAGTGTTTAGCAGCGAGGGTCTCTAGGATAAGGGTTCAGTCCTTGAGTGGTTTTCGTCTCGGCGTCATCAGAGTATCAGCATCCCGCTCTTGGGACTTTCTGTGATACTCGTAAAATGCAGATGGCTACCAATGCTACCAGCAAAGTTCACTGCATTGCTTTCCAAAGCCCCGGCACGTGTTCATGGACATGTTAAGTCCTCATCTTTCGACGAAGCGAGAAACGGAAAGACAGGATCAGGCAGGAGCAACATTAATGCTTGAGTGAAGGACGCTTGCTTCGTGTGCATGCATGAACCACTACATCACATTTATGTATATATATATATATGTATGTGTATGTGTATATGTATATATATATATATAATATGCATACACACATCATATATATATATATATACATACAAGTATACACACATAGATACATGCATGCATGCATGCATGCATGCATGCATGCATGCATACATACATACATACGTACATGCATACACACATGCATACCTACGTACATACAGACATACATACATACATGCATGCTTACATACATACATACATACATACATACATACATACATACATACATACATACATCTCTCTCTGTATATATATATATATATGAACGTAAGCATGCTATGTGTGTGTGTACAGTATCTGTCTAATTACACACATTATGTCTATGGTTTACAACATCCCAAGCCCAGGCGGAAACAAGCACACACTCACACACTCACATATATACATATATACATATATATATATATATACATACAGACATACATGCATACATTCATACATATATATATATATGTATACTATACCTCTATTCGCCGGCCTGCCTGCGCAACTGCCCACCCACCCGCGGCCGTGCCTACCTACACCTACATGCATGGTTACACACGAAATCATATGTACATAGAAAGATATACATACAATCTTACTTGCTCACTTACTTACTTACTTACTTACTTACTGACTTACTTACTTACTTACTTACTTACTTACTTACTTACTTACTTACTTACGTTTTTACATACATACATATACACCTACATACATACGTATCATACTGATATACGTTTATACATATATATATATGAATACACATACAATCTATTTTCCATTTCTGTACACATACACAGATAAATGCACACGAGCGAGTCCAGGGCCCCTATAGCCCTGGATTTGGGGGCGTAAGTTTGAGTGTCTCCCAGCCCTTACCCTACACCTCCAGGGCCCCAAGCCCTAAGCCACCCTCAACCATAAACTTAATACGACTAAACTCTAAACCCTTAAAATTAGCCCTAAACCCTTAGGGTTCAGGGTTTAGGGTTTCAGGTTGGCACAAAAACATCCAAAAACAAACAACATCCCAAACCCGTTTGAATTCACCACACACCGAACGGACAAGCTAAAAACAACAAAACCCTAGGATTTCATGTTGGCCCAGTGCCGTTCCAGGCACCCCGTCCTCCAAGAACGGGAAGCCGAAGGGTGCTGAGGCGAAGGGAATCATATAGGAGCACTAACAAAAAGGGTTCAGGGGTTTAGGGTTTAGGGCTTCGTAATAAAGATAGTATAGGGGCTCTAATAATTATCTATACTAGTTTGGGGGTTCCTTATTATAAGTATAGTATAATGGGCCCCAACCTACAGTAGCATAAAGCCGTCCGAATAAGTAGTGGTTCAGGGCTTGTAGGGTCTATCAGTCTTAGGTTCCGTTGTCGACCTCATGAAACCATGCAGTAATATACTCAATATACTCAAGGATAAACCCCAAGCCTAACACATCCCGCAAAACCCTAAGGCTCCACGTGCCCATATAGTAGATACTTAGGCCTTAAAGTACCTACATAGGCACCCCTTTGAGGCCGAAGTATCTACTATAAAGATACATGGAGCCTTTGGGAAACACATGGAACTTGGACCCCGAGCCCTATACGCTAGGGCCCAAACCCGAGATGCCAAACGCTTTGAACCAAGGGGCTCAGTGTCTTCGGCGTTGAAGTTCAGGAGGTTAAGCTCCGGGTTTGGGGGTTTAGGGTTTAGGTTTTAGGGTTTAGGAGGTGTTTAAGAGAAGCATGCCGCGTATTTGTCGTTGCTGGGGGGCGTGCTCAGCCTCAGAGTAGGGTGTGAAGGTTCAGGGAATCAAGGAAAACCCTAAACCCCTAAACCCTCAACTCTAACAGTATCATGTACACCCCCATAGTCCTCCTTACATCACAACTATAGCAAAATATAGCCACCCAAGCCCTATTCATTATGGAGAAACCTTTCTAAGGAGCCCTTTGAAGGAGTCCTGGTCTAAATATAACGGCCGCTGTAGTCTGCCACAGACCCGAAGAAGCAGCAGCCTGAATAACGTAAGGGCCTTAATACTTAGAATAGGGTTTGGGGGGTATACTATGCCATAATTATAGGAAGGAACCCCCCCCCCAAAAAAAAATAGTATAGGTGATTATGAAGGCCCCTTTATTAGCCAATGACTTGCAGAGATGACATGGCTTGCTTGTTGGGTTTTGTGTTTAGGGGCTTAGGGTTTCGGGTTCAGGGTTTCGGGTTTAGGGTTTCGGGTTCAGGGTTTCGGGTTTAGGGTTTAGGGATTTAGGGTCGAAGTGTTAGTGTTGCATGTGCCATAAGCACTGCACCGTTGATGGTAGGTTTGCTGTCTGTGGCTTCAGTACGACAGCCAGGCAAGCCTTTGAAGCCTTAAACCCCTGCGGGAGCCACATCGAACCCAAGTCGAACCAAGCCGTATAGAACCTACACAGAACCCTCATAGAACCAGAAAAGAACCCTATCCCCCCTTGCAGAAACCAAAAAAAACCTGTATAGGGCCCTGATGTTGAAGCTTTCTAGAACCCTCGCAACACAAGCCCGCGGCGCCCAAGCCACCACAACTCACCCGGCCCTAAGGCTTGAACTGAGCAGGAAGCCTGGTTTTGATGTGGCTTTGGAGCCCAAAAGCTTCAAAAGAGCCCACAGAGCCTATAGGGTTTAGGGTTGAGTGTTGCTGGCCACCGAAACCCTACTTGGAGGTTAACGGGTAGTTATGAGTAGGGCTATACATCAGCTAATATGGGATATAGCTATACTTACTCTACTTGTAACCCCATTTCCCGACTTATAGCTACCCATGAACCTCCAAGTATAACCTTCCCACAAGACATTGAACCCTAAACCCTAAACCCCCAAACCCGTAAACCCTAAACCCTAAACCCTGAACTCTAAACCCTAAGCCCTAAACCCTAAACCCCTACATCCTAAACCCGTAAACCCTGAACCCTAAACTCTTCATCCCGAGCACAGGCAGAAGCCAGTCGACAACCCGAGCCAAAGTTGCCGGGGGCAGGTCCCCTCCGACCTTTTTGTTGCTTAGGGGTTAGGGTGTAGTGTTTAGGGTTTAGGGTTTAGGGTTTAGGGTTTAGGGTTTAGGGCAGGTCCC